CTTTATATATTAGCTCTTCATCTCTGTTGCATATTTTAAATATTTTTCCCAGTTTAGCATTTGTCATTTAACTTTGCTTATGGTAATTTTTTCAATGAATAAGTTTTGGGGAATTATTTTTCTATTTAACCAATATTCTTTGGATATTTAACTGCCAGTATAGCTGTACAGGCCATGTAATATTTAACCAGAATTTGAATTACTGTTGCTATGATATTGGCCTGAGGGAGATGATCTCAGCAATGAGGGAGTGTAGCCCACCATTGCTCAATTGATAGTCACAAATTTGGGGATTTAAGAAAGTATTGTAATTTCTATTTTCTAGTATTCTCCTTTATATGGAAATCTGGTGAGGGCTAAGAACCTTATCTCTAGGTCAAAGGCATTGTAGACTCACAATAAATTTTTGTGAAATAAAGTAACTGCTTACTGACAAAAAATTAAAAAATTTTTTCAACAGTTGGAATATATCTTCTTGGAGAGTTTGGTGAAAGTGGTAATTTCATACATAGCTGTTGGCAAGATAAATTGTTGTACCATTTTTGAACATTCACTTAGCAATGTATTTTAAGAGGTATAAAATTATATACCCTTTTGACATGAAGATTTCTATTCTGAGAATCCATTATAAAATCTGTAAGTGAAACAAGCAAAAAAGGAAGTAGTTTTAAGCACAAAAATGCTGCTTCCATCATTTTTAACATAAAAAGAAATTGGCAACAACCTAAATATTCAAAGGTAGGAAACCGTTTTTGTAATGTGTGGTGAATTCACTGGGTAGAATACTATGTAGCCATTATTAGGTATGATTGGAAGACTATGGAGCAATACAGAAAGACATTTACATTATATAAACTGTATATCCTTGGAGAGAAGGGTGAATAGGTGGAGCACAGGAATTTTAGGATAGTAAAAATGCTCTGTATGATGGATACATGTCATTATACATTTTTTGAAACTGATAGAAAGTACATCACCAAGAGCAAGCCCTGGTATAACCACTGGCCTTTGGGTTATTATGTGTCTATGTAATAAATGTAGTAATTGTACCAAATGTAACAAATGTACCACTCTGCTGGGACATGTTGATAATGGGGGAAGCTATTGCATTTTTAGAGTAGTTTTACATTCAGAGGAAAATTAAGAGATGTACCTTCCTCTTAATTTTCCTCTGAATGTAAAACTACTTAAAAAAAAATCATTGTAAAAGCAACCAAAAAGTATATCCAGAGAAAAATATATAAGTTGTATATAAACTGACAATAAACAAATATATATATATATACAGGATAAAGAAGGGAGAAAATTCACTTCACTGTACTTCATAGTGTCTAGTTTTGTTCAGGTTGTGAGATTATGATGATTTGATAGATTTTTTCTGTTGCCATAACTTCATGGCAAATAGAAGGAGAAAAGTGGAAGCAGTGACAATTTTATTTTCCTGGGCTCCGAAATCACTGTGAATGGTGCTGCAACCATGAAATTACAAGAGTTGCTCCTTGGAAGAAAACTATGACAAACCTAGACAGTGTATTAAAAAACAGAGACATCATTTTGCCAACAAAGTCCATATAGTCAAAGCTATGGTTTTTCCACTAGTCATGTACGGATATGAGAGTTGGACCATAAAGAAGACTGAGTGCTTAACTGTGGTGGAGAAGACTCTTGAGAGTCCTTTGGACTGCAAGGAGATCAAACCACTCAATCCTAAAGGAAATTAACCCTGAATATTCATTGGAAAGACTGATGCTGAAACTGAAGCTCCAATTCTTTGGCCACCTGATACGAAGAGCTGTCTCACTGGAAAAGACTCGGATGCTGGGAAAGATGGAGGGCAAAAGAAGAAGTGGGTGGCAGAGGATGACATGGTTAGAGATTATTACTGACTCAGTGGACATAATTTGAGCAAACTCTGGGAGATAGTGGAGGACAGAGGTGCCTGGTATACTGCAATCCATGGGGTTGCAGAGTCTTAGCGACTTAGTGACTGAACAGTACTCTTTTAATATTTCAGCCTCCTTCTCTCTTCTTTCCTTTCTTTCTTTTCTCCCTCCCTCCCTTCCATCCTTCCCTTCCTTCTACCCTCCTTTCATTCCTTCCTTCCTTCTTTTATTTCTTTAATTGAGATATAATTTGACATATTACATTGTATAGATTTAAGATTTATAAGTATATAAAGTTATACATTTCTGTATTGCTGCATGATCACTCTTGTAGCAGTAGCCAACACCTATTTCACATCATATAATTATTGTCTTTCTTTTTTGTGATGAAAATTAAGATTGTGTCTCTTAGAAATTTTGAAGTCTATAATAAATATCATTGTGCATAATGACTATGCCATACATTAGGTCTCCACGACTAATTTATCTACTAGTTGCTAATAGGTACATTTAAACTACATGTCCACAGTTCTCTCGCCCCTCAGCCCCTGGTGATGAGCATTCTATTCTGCTTTTATGAGTTTAACTTTTTAAGATTCCACATGTTCCTGATATCATACATTATTTATCTTTCTCTGACTGATTTATTTAATTTAGCATAATGCCTTTGAAGTCCATTTATGTTATAAATGGCAGAATCTCCTTTTTTTTAATGGCTGAATAATATTATAATATATATCACATTTTTTAAATCTATTCATCTGTTGATAGGTTGTTTCCATATCTTGGTTGCTGTGAATAATGCTGCCATAAATATGGGAATGCAGGTATCTCTGTAAGATGATGATTTCGTCTCCTTCTGTTTCCTTGATCATCTCAATGCATGCAGAAAAAGCATTTTACAAAATACAGCTTTCCTTAATGATAAACCCTAAACAAATTGAGTATAAAAGGAAGATATCTCAGTATGGGCTTCCTGGGTGTAAAAGAACCTGCCTGCCAATGCAGGCAATGCCTGAGACAGGGTTTGATCCGTGGGTCAGGAAGATCACCTGGAAGAGGTCATGGCAACCCTTTCCAGTATTCTTGCCTGAAAAATCCAATGGACAGAGGAACCTGGCAGGCAACAGTCCATAGGTTCACAAAAAGTCAGACATGACTGAAATGACTTAGCACACATGCATGCATCTCAGTTTAATAAAGCCAATATATGACAGGCCCAAAGCTAACATAATAATTGGTGAAAGACCGAAAGCTTTTTGTTCACATATGAAACCTCCACCATTTTATTCCCCTGTTTACATTTTGATGTCACAGTTTACCTCTTTTTAATATTGTGTATTCTTTAACAGATTATATGGCAACCCACTCCAGTACTCTTGCCTGGGAAATCCCATGGACGGGGGAGCCTGGTGGGCTGCAGTCCATGGGGTCGCGAGGAGTTGGACACAACTGAGCGACTTTCACTTTCACTTTGCACTTTCATGCACTGGAGAAGGAAATGGCAACCCACTCCAGTGTTCTTGCCTGGAGAATCCCGGGGACAGGGTTGCCTGGTGGGCTGCCGTCTATGGGGTCGCACAGAGTCGGACACGACTGAAGTGACTTAGCAGCAGCAGCAGCAGGAGCAGTGTTATAGTTATTAATACTCTTTTCCTTTAACCTTTAAACTGAATTAAGTGGTTAACATACCATGCCACTACAGAATTAAGAGTTTTCAAAATCTGAAACTGTATTTACAGTGTATTTACCTTTACCTGTGTGTTTTATACTTTAGTATATTTTCATGTCACCAATGGCTTCCCTCATGGCTCAGATGGTAAAGAATCCGCCTGCCGTGTGGGAGATCTGGGTTTTGATACCTGGGCTGGGAAGATCCTCTGGAGGAGGGCATGGCAACCCACTCCAGTATTCTTGCCTGGAGAATCTTCATGGGCAGAGGAGCCTGGCAGACTACAGTCCACGGGGTCATAAAGAGTCAGACACAACTGAGTGACTAAGCATAGCACAGCACATCACCAATTAGCATATTTTCTCCTTGATATCTGAAGGATAACTTTGCCAGATAAAATATTCTTGGCTGGCTTGCCTTCTTTCAACAATTTGAATATATCATTCTGTGTTCTCCTGACCTATATAGCATTTCTGCCAATGAATCTTCTGATAGCCTAATGAGGGTTCATTTGCAAGTTTACTGTCTTTTTTCCTCTAGCTTTTTAAGGATTCTCTCTTTTTCTTTGATTTTTGACAATTTCATTATAATGGATTCTTGGTAATCTTTTGCATTCAGTTAGCAGGATGACTTATTAGTTTCATAAATTTGGATTATCTATGTCTCTCCTTACATTTGTGAAGTACTTAGCTAGTGTTTCTTTAAACTTTCTGCCCCTCATTTCTCCTTTTGGAACTCCAATTGTGCTAGATATTTGTATGTTTGATTGAATCCCATAGATTATGCACACGTTCTTCCCACTTTTTCATTCTTTTCTCTCTGTTCACCTCTGATTGGGTTATTTCAAAATCACTATCTTCCTGGTTGCTAGTCTTTGATCTACCCTGCTGCAGATTCTCTCTATTGCATTTTTATTTTAATCATCAAATCTTCAGTTTTGGAATTTCTGTTTGGGTCTTGTTTATGGTTTTTAACTTTTTGCAGAATTTCTCATTTTGTGCATACATTTTCCCCTGGTTTCATTGAATTGTCTTCTGTGTTTCTTATAGTCTATAGTTTCCTCAAAACAGCTATTTTTAATTCCTTATTGGCTCAATTATAAATTTTTTTTTTCTGCTTTTGAGCTCAGTTATTGATGGATTATTATCTTTTGGTGATGTGTTTTCTTGATTCTTCCTTTCTTGTATCAGACACTCCCTCAAATCTTCACTAGTTGCCTTCAGATAGGGTATATAGTGTTTGTTAATCCTGTACTATCTGGGGTTCTCTCTGACCTTGTATTTATACACCTGCCTTGCACGTCTTGCTCCCTCATGTGGCAGAATTCATAAGCTTTTATGTCTTCTGTGGTTCTTAGAACTCACATGGCTGGCCGCTAGAAACCTTTCCTGTTTTCCAGAAAGTAGAGTTATAGCTCAAGTTTGTGTTTTCTCTTTTGCCAACAGATCCTGGTGTGTTTTTGTCATAGCACTTTTTTTACTATGCTCATTCCTGCTACCAGTCTCTGCTCACAGAAGCCACCCTCGAGTGAGAGGAGGTATGGTTTTAATTTTTGGGACATTGAGGGTGACCACCCGCTAGTGGGGAGATCCTTGACTGAGCCTCCCAGAGGCTAAGTGGACTTCCTGCTGAAGCTCTGAGCACAGACAGCAGGACCCATGACCCTTTAGTGCCTTTTGATGTTCTTATTTAGCCTTTCCTGAACTCTCCCCTGCCTCCCAGTAATGGAGGTTCCCACTTCCAGTACTCTTACTGTTGCTGGAGAAAAGTGGATTTCTTGTGTGCAGCATCTAGTACAGTTGGGGTAGTCATGCACTCACTACATCTCCTTTTCACCTGTGAAAGTCATCATGAGATAGTTCCGTCTCTTATTGTGTCAGCTTGTGGGGAGGGGCAGAGCTGATCAGGTTCCTCTTTCCCTCTCTGCTACATTCAGACTCGTATGTGTGTGTGTGTGTGTGTTCCCTCCAGTGGTGTGCTCTGATCACCTCCATAGGGCTGGAATTTTACAAATTCTCCCTCATCCGTGGGTATCTGCCCAAGTCAGAAATCTCCAGGTTTTCCCCAGTTATGGCTGGGAGTTGTTGGGGGCAGGTTTGCTCACTCTGCTGATTCTGCAAACCAAACCAAGGATTTGTCTATTACCAGATGAACAGGTAGGCGAGGCTTCTCCCTGGTCCCTTGGTTTATGTTGACAGATCATGCTGTGCCCACAGAGGCACTCTTGTTTGTGTTTGTTTAAAAAGAAGGGACAAAAAGTAGACTTACACTACCAGGAGTTGATGTCACTCCTTTTTCACTATATTATACTGTTTGTTGGATACTCTTACGTTGACTCTTCATGTTTTCTATTTTCTTCTCTATTCTTTTCTTCATAAAAATACCTATAATTTGTATCTATTTTATACATGTCACTGTCATTTCAGTGGGGATTTCAGAGAGAAAGAGGGATCATAAACACATGGGTTCAATATGCTGTGTTCAAACTGATAGAACCTTTTTTAGGTAGAATTTGAAATGTATAAAACCTCAGAATGCCTAAGCCCTTTGATGCAAAGTTCTGTTTCTAGATTAATTAACCTGTAGAAATAATTTTGCTGCTGCTGCTGCTAGGTCGCTTCAGTTGTGTCCGACTCTGTGCGACCCCATAGATGGCAGCCCACCGGGCTCCCCCGTCCCTGGGATTCTCCAGACAAGAACACTGGAGTGGGTAGAAATAATTCTACATGTACATAAAGAGATGTGTACAAGGACACAAAGATATGACTCTAGCATTGATCGTAACAGTGAAAAACTGGAAACAGTTTATATGCTATCAACAAGGAAAAGGTTAAATAAACTTTGATGTCTATACTACAGAAAAGTATGCAACAGTAAAAAAGAGTGCTATTGGTATATATTGAAACCTCTCTAATAAATATTTTTAAGTTTAAAAAGCAAATATAAATAATATATAATCCCACTTATATTCTTTAAAAACACACAAATACAGGGTTTTGAACACATCATACAGGGATCATCACTGGGCCCACTAAGTATATTGCTCATCAGCGGAATGTTTGTTTCTTTCTCTCATCAAGGAAGGGCTTAAATTACCCCCCCCCCCCCCCAAATTAACCTAATGAGGTTATTCAAAAATGCCCACATTGGCTTTCAATCTATGATTGAAAAGATAAGTTATCTACTGCTGCACAGTAAATTACAGATCTTCCTTAACTTACCCATTGTAAATTGAAAATGTCATAAGATGCATTTACTTAAAAAAGTTATTTTATATTTGACTATATTTACAATGTTGTGTTAGTTCCAGGTGTACAGCAAAGCGATTCAGCTGAAAACATACATATATCTATTCTTTTTACAATTATTTTCCCATTTAGGTTATTACAGAATATTGACCAGATTTCCCTATGCTATACAGTAGGTCCTTGTTGGTTATCTATTTAAAATATAGTATTTTGTAGATCTCAGTCCCACAGTCCCAGTTTATCTCTCTCCTCTACCTTTCCCCTTTGATAAACATAAGTCTTTTCTAAGTCTGTGAGTCAGTTTCTGTTTGGTAAATTTTTAGGTAGGAAGTTAGGCATGAGCAACTGATTGGTGGCCTAGCTGAAAAAGATTCAAGCTGATATCTAAACCCCACCTCAGTTGCTTTACAGACAAGCAAGAGATTAGAGAATTCAGAACCACTAAACCAGTTTTACAACAAATGTTAAAAGAACTTCTCTAGACAGGAAACACAAGAGAAGGAAAAGACCTACCTACAGAAAATAAACCCAAAGCAATTAAGAAAATAGGAATAGGATCATACATATTAATAATGACCTTAAATATAGTGTATTAAATGCACCAACCAAAAGACATAGACTTGCTGAGGTGGATACAGAAACAAGACGCATATATATGTCATCCAGAAGAGCCCACCTCAGACCTAGGGACATCTACAGACTGAAAGTAAGGGGGTGGGAGAAGGTATTTCATGCAAGATGAAGTAGCAATACTCATATCACACAAAATAGACTTTAAAACAAAGACTATTATAAGAGACAAAGAAGGACACTACATAATGATCAAGGGTTTAATCCAAGAAGAAGATATAACAATTATAAATATATATACACCCAACATAGAAGCACCTCAATATGTAAGGCAAATACTAACAAACATAAAGGGAGAAATTGACAGTAACACAATAATAGTGTGGGACTTTAGTACCCTATTTTCATCAGTGGGCAGATCATCTGAACAGAAAATTAATAAGGAAACACAGATCTTAAATGACACTTTAGGCAAGGTGGACTTTACTGATATTTATAGAGCATTCTACCCAAAAGCAGCAGACTACTCAAGTGCACACAGAACGTTGTCCATGATTGACTACATGCTGTGCTGCCAGGCAAGCATGGTAAATTTAAGAAAATCAAAATTATATCAAGCATCTTTTCTGATCACAACACTATGTGATTAGAAATAAACTATAAAACAAAACCTCTAAAAAACCAAAACACATGGCAGCTAAATAATATACCGCTCAATAACCATTGGATCACTGAAGAAATCAAAGAGGAAATAAAAAGTTACTTAGAGACAAATGAAAACACAGTGGTCCAAAACTTACAGAATTCAGCAGAAAGCAGTTCTAAATGGGAAGTTTATAGCAATACAATTTCATCTCGAGAAACAAGAAAAATCTGGAATAAAAATTGTCAGCCCACGCATGCCTAAATGAGTACGTAAAAGCCTCTCTTGAAAATCCCTGTGCCTCCTCATTCTGGCGCTGGTGCCTCTCTTGGCTGGGCCCCCGTCTCCCTTGAGGTGTTCTTATAAGACCTCAGATTCTTCTTAGTGTTCTTAAGAAGAACTGAGGCCCCACAAGGGAGGGGGGTCCTCTTCAGTTCTCCCTGTATCTGCTAATAAAAATAGGCTCATTTGTATCATTTTTTGGGGTTCTGTATATAAACAGTATCATATGATATTTGCCTGTCTCTGTATGACTTACTTCACTTAGTGTGATAATCTCCAGGTGCATCCATGTTGTTGCAAATGACATTTCATTCTCTCTAATGATTGAATAATATTCCAGTATGTATATATATATATATATATATATATATATTCATCTGTCAATGGAGATCAAGTTGCTTCTATGTTTTGGCTATTGTAAACAGTGCTGCAATGAATATTGGGTTTGTATGTATCCTTTCAAACCATGATTTTCTCCAGATATATGCTCAGGAGTGGGATAGCTAGTTCATATGGTAGCTTTGTTTTTAGTTTTTAAAAGAACCTCCATACTGTTCTCTATAGTAGTTGTACCAATTTACAGTCCCACCAACAGTGTGAGAGGTTTCCCTTTTTTCTACGCCCTTTCCACCAGTTATTGTTTATAGATTTTATGATGGCCAGTAGTCAAAGCTATGATTTTTCCAGTAGTCATGTACGGACGTGAGAGCTGGACCATGAAGAAGGCTGTTGTTCGGTCGCTCAGTCATGTCTGACTGTTTACAAACCCATGGACTGCAGCACAATGCTAGGCTTCCCTGTCCTTCACCATCTCCCGGAACTTGCTCAGACTTATGTCCATTGAGTCATAATGGGTCCATTATGATGCAGTCATAAGGTCAATGATGCCATTCAACCATGTCATCCTCTGTTGCCTCCTTCTCTTACCCTCAGTCTTTCCCAGGATCAGGGTTATTTCCAGTGAGACAGCTCTTCATATCAGATGGCCAAAGTATGGTAGCTTTGGCTTTGGCATCAGTCCTTCCAATGAATATTCAGGGTCGACATCCTTTAGGATTGACTGGTTTGATCACCTTGCTGTCCAAGGGACTCTCAAGAGTCTTCTCCAGCACTGCAATTCAAAATCATCAATTCTTCAGCACTCAGCCATCTTTATGACGTACATGACTACTGTACACATCACATCTGTACATGACTACTGGGAAACCATAGCTTTGACTATTCAGACCTTTGTAGGCAAAGTGATATCTATTTTTTAATACGCTGTCTGGATTTGTCAGAGTTTTTCTTTCAAGGAGCAAGTGTCTTAATTTCATGGATGTAGTCACCATCCACAGTGATTTTGGAGCCCAAGAAAGTAAAGTCTCTCACTGTTCCTATTGTTTCCCCATCTATTTGCCATGAAGTGATGGGACCAGATGCCTTGATCTTCATTTTTTGAATGTTGAGTTTTAAGCCAGGCTTTTCACTCTCCTTGTTCACCTTCACTAAGAGGCTATTTAGTTCTTCACTTTCTGCCATTAGTGTGGTGTCATCTGCATATCTGAGGTCATGGCTATTATTCCTGGCAATCTCAATTCCAGCCTGTGATTTATCAAGCCCGGCATGTCACATGATGTACTCTGCACGTAAGTTAAATAAGTAGGGTGATATACAGCCTTGACATACCTCTTTCCAAATTTGGAACCAGTCCATTGTTCCATGTCCGGTTCTAACTGTTGCTTCTTGACCTGCATACATATTTCTCAGGAGGCAGGTAAGGTGGTCTGGTATTCCCATCTCTTTCAGAATTTTCCACAGTGTGTTGTGATCCACACAGCCAAAGGCTTTAGCATAGTCAGTGAAGCAAAATTTGGTGTTTTCTGGAATTCTCTTGCTTTTTCTATGATGCACTGGATGTTGGCAATTTGATCTCTGGTTTCTCTGTCTTTTCTAAATCCAGCTTGTATATCTGGAAATTCTCAGTTCAAGTAGTACTGTTGAAGCCTAGCAGGAAGGATTTTGAGGATTACCTTGCTAGCATGTGAAATGAGCACAGTTGTGCACTTTTTGGGGACTGGGGTGGAAACTCACCTTTTCCAGTCCTGTGGTCACTGCTGAGTTTTCCAAATTTGCTGGCTTATTGAGTGCAGCACTTTCACAGCATCATTTTTTTGAATTTGAAAAAGCTCAGCTGGAATTCCATCACCTCCTCTAGCTTTGTTCATAGTAATGCTTCCTAAGGTCCACTTGACTTTGCAGTCCAGGATGTCTGGCTCTAGGTGAGTGACCACACCATCACAGTTATCTATATTATTAAGATCTTTCTTGTACAGGTCTTCTATATATTCTTGCCACTTCTTAATTTCTTCTGCTAGATCCTTACTGTTTCTGTCCTTATTGTGCCCATCTTTGCATGAAATGTTCCCTTGGTATCTCTAATTTTCTTGAAGAGATCTCCAGTCTTTCCCATTCTATTGTTTTCCTCTATTTTTTGTGCATTGTTTACTTAAGAAGGCTCTCATCTCTCTTTGGTATTATTTGGAATTTTGTTCAGATGGTATATCTTTCCCTTTCTTTGCTTTTCACATCTTTTCTTTTCTCAGACAAACATTTTGCCTTCTTGCATTTCTTTTCCTTTGGGATGGTTTTGGTCACCGCCTCCTGTACAGTGTTAATGAACCTCTGTCCATAGTTCTTCAGGCCCTCTGTCTATCAGATCCAATTCCTTTAATCTATTTGTCACTTCCACTGTATAATCATAGAGAGTTTGATTTAGGTCATACTTGGATGGCCTATTTGTTTTCCCTGCTGTCTTCAATTTAAGCCTGAATTTAGCAATAAGGAGTTCATGATCTGAACCACAGTCAGCTCCTGATCTTGTTTTTGCTGGGTGTATAGAGCTTCTCCATCTTCTGCTGTAAAGAATATAATCAATGTGATTATGGTATTGACCATCTAGTGATGTTCATGTGCAGAATCATCTCTTGTGTTATTGGAAGAGGGTGTCTGCTATGACCAGTACATTCTCTTGGCAAAATTCTGTTAGCCTTTGCCCTGCTTCATTTTGTATACCAAGGCCAAACTTGTCTCGGAGTAACAACCCCAGTTATCTCTTGACTTCCTACTTTTGCATTCCAATCCCTTATGATGAAAAGCACATCTTATTTTGGTGTTAGTTCTAGAAAGTCTTGTAGGTCTTCATAGACGCATTCAACTTCAGCTTCTTCAGCATCAGTAGTTGGGGCATAACTTGAATTACTATGATGTTGAATGGTTTGCCTTGGAAACGAACTGAGATCCTTCTGTCATTTTTGAGATTTCACCCAGGTACTATATTTTGGACTCTTGTTGACTATGAGGGCTACTCCACATCTTCTAAGGGATTCTTGCCTACAGTAGTAGATATAATGGTCATCTGAATTAAATTCTCCCACTCATCCATTTTAGTTCACTCATTCCTAAAATGTTGATGTTCACTCTTGCCATCAGAATTCCAATTGTGGTGCTAGAGAAGACTCTTGAGAGTCTCTTGGACTGCAACGAGATAAAACCAGTCAATCCTAAAGGAAGTCAACCCTGAATACTCATTGGAAGGATTGATGCTGAAGCTGAAGCTCCAGAGCTTTGGCCACCTGATGTGAGGAGCCTACTGATTGTAAAAGACCCTGATGTTGGGAAAGATTGAAGGCAAAAGGAGAGGGAGGCAGCAGAGAATGAAATGGTTAGATAGCATCTTTGATTCAGTGAACATGAGTCTGAGCAAATCTAGGAGATAGTGAAGGACAGAGGAGCCCGGCATGCTGCAGTCCATGGGGTCGTAAAGAATTGGTCATGACTTTGCAACTCAACAACAACAACAACATTCTGACTGGTGTGAGGTGATATCTCACTGCAGTTTTGATTTGCATTTCATTAATAATTAGTGGTGTTGAGCATCTTTTCATGTGCCTCTTGGCCATCTGTATGTCTTCTTTGGAAAAACGTCTGTTTAGGTCTTCTGCCCATTTGTTGTTTTCTTTTATATTGAAAAAAAAAAAAAAGAATTTAATACACCTAACCCTTGGAACATCATAGTATAGCTTAGTCTACCTCAGATATGTTTATAACACTTACATTAATCTGTAGTTGGGCAAAATCATCTAACATGAAGTTAGAATCTCATATAATTTATTGACTACTGTATTGAAAGTGGAATATCAAATGGTTGTCTAGCTTCAGAATGGCTGTGGCTGATCACGTGGCTGACTGGGAGCACAGCTTGCTGCTACCCCCCAGCATGAGGAGAGAGTATTATACTGTATATTGCTTGCAGAAGGAAAGATTGAAATGCAAAATTAGAAGTACAGTTGCTACTTAAATGCATATTGCTTTCACTCCATTGTGAAGTTAAAAAATTGTAAGTCCAGCCATTGTAATTCAGGGACACTCTGTGTCTCAAAACAACAAGTATTTATTTTCTCTCAGTTTCTGTAAGTCAGGAATCTGGGATTTGCGTAGCTGGGTTCTCTGTTCAAGAGGTTCCACAAGATTGCTGCAAGACCAGGGTTGTGGCCACCTCAAGGATCCAGCAGGAGATGATTCACTTTAAAATTTTATGTCCCAGTAAAATAACATTACTTATTACAAATGTGATATCAATAAGTATAGAATACTGAAAACATATAGCTAAGCAAAAGAAAATTTAGAGGACATATACACATATTCATACACATCCAGCCTCACTTACATGGCTGTTGGTGCAGTCCAGTTCTTTGAAGGTTGTTAGTCAGAGGCCACCCTTAGTTCCTCACTATATGGGCCTGTCTGTGGTACAGCTCACGGCATGGGAACTGACTGCTTCAGAGCAAATGGGTAAGAAAGAGAGAGCATGAGTAAGTTGGAAGTCAGTCTTAGGCTACCTAATCTCAAGTCACCCATCACTTTTGTTAGAAGTAAGTCACTAGGTCCAGCCCTTGGGGGGAAGGTCTTGTGTAAGAGTACGACTACCTAGAGGTAAGGATCATCTCTGAAGTTGCCTACAACCACAGTTAAAAGATAATTCAAGGGGTTTCAGGAGAAAATTCAGAAACAAAGATTTGTGTAATATAAGCAAATGGCTTCTTTAGCACAGTTACTTGCTTATAGTAGATGCTAAACAATATTTTTTCGTTTTTTAACTTCTCATTTTGAAATAATTTCAAAGTTAAAGTTGCAAGAATAGTGAAAGAATTCCATACAGTCTTTATCCACACTATTTGTTAGAAAATTATATTTGAATATATTATGCAATTTGTCACATGAGAAGGCATTATTTGTAGTCATCAAAGCTTTGGGGCCTGGTGAGAGGGGTCCACCCTGTGCTGAAGTCATATTTGCTCTCTGAGTATATAGTTGTCATCTTTCAAATGTTCTCTTTTTCCTCCTTCTCCAACAGAAAATCCCGAGGGAGCAGCTCTGTACTTTGTCTCTGGTGTGTGTATTGGACTGGTCCTCACCCTAGCTGCCTTGGTGATGAGGATCTCTTGCCACACAGACTGCTGTCAGCATTCCCAGAAGCTTCTGAGGGACCAAGAAAGCAGCAGCAATAGCAGCGACAGCGAGGACGGCAGCTTGGATGCAGCATCTGACATCTCAGTCAGGAGACATCGGCGCTTTGAGAGGACTTTGAACAAGAATGTCTTCACCTCGGTGGAGGAGCTGGAGCGAGCCCAGCGGCTGGAGGAGCGGGAACGTATCATCAGGGAGATTTGGATGAATGGCCAGCCTGAGGTTCCCGGCACTAGGAGCCTGAACCGCTACTACTAGGGGCAGGAGCAGGAACCCATACCCCACTGTTTAGCTGCCTGGGAGAGAAAGGGCCCCGCAGAGACAGTGGGCACTAAAAGTCGAATGCAGTTCTGCTAATGTTATGGTGGCAGAGATAAGCAGGACACTGTCATTTTTGAGACAGTAAGACAGATTTGTCCCTTTTGGCTACATGGAGAAGTAGAAAAACCAAGTTGTTTTATCAACCTTTCTAGATCTTGGAATGGTGCTGAAAACCCTCTCCAGCCATGTGGATGGAGATTAGAGGAATGGGACTTGTGGTGTGGTTTCTCTTGATTTCTGAGGATCTCAGAAGTTTCTGCAGACTTCATTGCTATGTTTTATTTCTATAGAAAAGGAAATATTATTATAGCAAGAGGGCTAGGAAGAGCAGGGTTACCTTAACTTAGTAAATGCAACTTAAATGACTGTTTGCATGGAGGTGATTTTGACCCAGATAGCATGATCCATGCTTATTATTTAAGGCCTATTTTCAAATCTCGTATTGTAATTGCAACCTCTTCCATTTTAAATGGCACCTCAGGGATTAAAATCCTGTTTTTTATTACAGTTACCACTTCACTCATGAAAATGAATAATGTATCATAGGAGATATGTCAGTGAACTAGAAAAATGTCAATAACCTCAAAGGATGAAGGGTTTTATTTTAAATAGCTTCTAAGGACTGTATTAACGTGCATTTATTGCTGTATGCATTTGAAAATGCAGCAGCAGAACAAAAGCCGTGTCTCCCCCCTTTTGGAGAAAACTTTATGACTCTAGATAATCATGACTTTAGACATTTTGTTAAAAAAATAAAAACCATGTTTGAATTTATAGTAAGAGAATGGGAATGGGAGGTGAGGAATAAAGCCAAAGTTAGGTTGGGATAAAAAATAAAAGTTACATAAAATCTTTTTTGTTTCATGTTTTGTTTCTGTGGTTACACTTACTTTAAACAGCAGCCCTTTTATAGGTGAGTATGGTCTTTTGCCTGATCCTTCAAATAACTGGAGAATTTTGAGAAACAGAGAAACCAGAAAGTGGAGAAATGACACCCAGGGGCTTGTTATTTTATGTCTGTTTCTATTATGATGACAGTGTAGTTGAGTGATTGGTAAGTTGATATAGGACTAGAAGACTTAGCAAAGGCTAGAAATAATAGGGTGTCCTCATATGGAGAGGGGAAGTTGGTAAGGAAGGGAGGCAAGGCTGAACCACATTTAGAAATGGGTTACAGAGGAAGATGCAGCATCCTCCAACCTGATACGCAGGAATAATGTTAGTTCTGTGTGACTGTCAGATCCCTTTTCTTGCCATGCAGTAGATTCCTTAGTCTGTCTGGATACTCCAGAGCCTTCCTACTAGATTTCTGCTGTTCATTGGCTTTGTCATCATACCTGAGAGGCTGGTTGGGAGACTTTCTCTGCTGTACTCTCTATTAATGATACTTTGGCAACCCACTCTCTGTGATAGAGGCTTGGAAGTCTGCCTTAAGGACTGAGAAGTTACAAATACATGTTTCCCAAGAGAGCAATAGTTTGCTTGAAACCCTCAGCGGCTGGCTTGATTATACCTTTTTGAGTGACCTCATTGGCAACTGCCCAAAATCTTATTAAATCAAGCATCTCTGAATCTGGTTTCAGCCCCTCGCCAACAAGTACAAGAATCATATCATTTCCCCTGAGCATTATATTAATATCATCTATATTGGCCTCTGCCTCTTTTTTAATTTTTAAATTTATTTTATAAATTTATTTTTATTGGGGTGTAGTTGCTTTACAATGTTGTGTTAGTATCTGGCTGTACAGAAACATGAATCAGTCATACATATATCTACTCTTTTTCAATTTCCTTCCCATTTAGGCTACCACAGAACATTGAGTAAGAGTTCCCTGTGCTATACAGTAGGTTTTAATTAGTAATATATATATTTCAGTCCCAGTCTCCCAATTTATCCCACCCTGTCCCTTCCCCTCTTGGTAACCATAAGTTCTCTACATTTGTGACTCTATTTCTACTTTGCAAATAAGCTCATCTCTACCATTTTCTAGATTTTACATGTAAGTGTTACTATACAACATTCGTTTGTCTCTTTCTGATTTCACTCTGTATGACAGTCTCTAGGTTGATCCACATCTCCACAAATGGTGCTATTTTGTTCCTTTTCATGGCTGAGTAATACTCCGTTGTTTATTTGTACCATGTCTTCTTTCTCCATTCCTCTTTTGGTTGACATTGAGGTTGCTTCCATATCCTGGCTATTGTAAATCATTCTGCAATGAACATCAGGATGCATGCATCCTTTTGAATTATGGTTTTCTTAGGATATATGCCTAGAAATGGGATTGCTAGGTCATATGGTAGCTCTGTGTTTTATTTTTTAAGATACATCCATACTGTTCTCCACAGTGGCTGTGTCAATTTACATTTCTGTCAACAGTTGTGGGATGGTTCCCTTTCCTCCATACCCTTTCCAGCATTTATTGTTTGTAGAATTTTTGATGATGGCCATTCTAGCTGGTGTGAGGTGATACCTCATTGCAGTTTTGATTTGCATTATCCAATAATGTAGTGATGTTGAGTTTGTTTTCGTGTGTTTGTTGGCCATCTGTATTTTTTTCTTTGGAGAAATATTTTGGTCTTGTCCATGTAGGTCCTTGACTGCTTTTCGATTGGGTGGTTTGTTGTTTTCATATTGAGCTGAATGAGCTGTTTGTATATTTTGGAGATTAATCCCTAGATGGCTGTGTCATTTGCAAATATTTTCTTCCATTCTGAGGGTTATCATCTTGTTTATGACTTCCTTTGCTGTGCAAAAGCTTTTAAGTTTAATTAGGTCCCATTTGCTTGTTTTTATTTTTATTTTATTTTCATTACTGTAGGTGGTGGATCAGAAAAGATCCTATTATCACTTATATCAGAGAGAGTTCTGTCTATATTTTCCTCTAAGAGCTTTATAATATCTGGTCTAACATTTAGGTCTTCAATTTGTGTGTGGTGTTAAAGAATGTTCATTTTTTAACATGTAGCTGCCCAGTTTTCCCAGCATCATTTATTGACGAGACTGTCTTTCCTCTATTGTATAGTCTTGACTCCTGTGTTATAGATTAGTGGATCATAGGTGCATGGGTTCCTTTCTGGCCTTTCAATCCTGTTCCATTGAGTTATATTTTTATTTTTGTACAAGTACCATACTGTTTTGATGGGCTGTAGCTTTGCTGCATAGGCTAAATCAAGGAAGCCTGATTCTTCAAACTCCATTTATCTTTCTCAAGATTGCTTTGACTATTCAGAATCTTTCATGTTTCCATACTATTTGTAAAAATTTTTGTTCTAATTCTGTGAATATTGCCATTAGTTATTTGATAAAAATTGCATTGAATCTGAAAATAACCCACATATTTTCAAGTGCAATGTGACATTTACCAAGAGAGATCTTTGACTTAGCCATTGAAAGCCTCAATAAAGTTAGTAGACTGGAAAACCACAGAGGGTGATTGCAGAGAAGAAAGCTTTTAAATGAGAAATTAATATCAAAGATATTTTTAAAAATCCCCATGTGTTTGGAAATTAAACCTTCACTTTTAAATGATGGGCATATCTAAGAAGTCATAACAAGGAAATAGAAGCTGTTTGAGAACCAGCGTTTAGTTTCATCGATATTGACTGTTTTCTTTATCTCCATTTCATTTTTCTGCTCTGATCTTTATGATTTCTTTCCTTCTACTAACTTTGGGTTTTCATTTGTTGTTGTTGCTGTTGTTGTTCTTTCTCTAGTTGCTTTAGGTTTAAGGATAGGCTGTTTATTTGAGAGTTTTCTTGTTTCTTGAGGCAGGATTGTTTTGCTATAAAATTCCCTCTTAGAACTGCATTTGCTACATCCTTTACATTTTGGATCGTCATATTTTCATTGTCATTTGTCTCTTAAGTATTTTTTCATATTCTCTTTGATTTCTTCAATGACCCATTGGTTATTTAATGACATATTGTTTAACCTCTGTATGTTTGTGGGTTTTACAGTTTTGTTTTTTCTGTAATTGATTTTTAATCTCATAGCATTGTGGTCAGAAAAGATGCCTGATATGATTTCAGTTTTCTTAAACCTACTGAGGCTTGATCTGTGACCCAAAATGTGATCTATCCTGAAGGATGTTTTTGTGTGCACTTGAGAAAGTGTGTTCTGCTACTTTCAGATGAAATGTCCTATAAACATACAATAAGTCTATCTGTTATAATGCACCATTTATGGCTCATGTATCCTTATTAATTTTCTGGCTGGATGGTTTGTCCCTTAGTACAAGTGGGGTGTTAAAGTCCCCCGCTACTGTGTTACTGTTGGTCTCCCTTTTTTTTTCAATTAATGAATTGTCGTGTTGCTCAGTTGCTCAGTCATGTCTGACTCTGTGTGACCCTATGGACTGCAGCATGCCAAGCTTCCCTGTCCTTCACCATCTCCCAGAGCTTGCTCAAACTCATGTCCATTAAGTCAGACTTAAATTGAAGAAAGTAGGGAAAACCACTAGACCATTCAGGTATGACCTAAATCAAATCCCTTACAATTACACAGTGGAAGTGAGAAATAGATTTAAGGGACTAGATCTGACAGATTGCTTGATGAACTATGGGCGGAGGTTCATAACATTGTACAGGAGACAGGGAGCAAGACTATCCCCAAGAAAAAGAAATGCAAAAAAGCAAAATGGCTGTCTGAGGAGGCCTTACAAATATCTGTGGAAAGAAAAGAAGCAAAAGGCAAAGGAGAAAAGGAAAGATATTCCCGTTTGAATGCAGAGTTCCAAAGAATAGCAAGGAGAGATAAGAAAGCCTTCCTCAGTGATCAATGCAAAGAAATAGAGGAAAACAATAGAATGGGAAAGACTAGAGATCTCTTCAAGAAAATTAGAGCTATCAAGGGAACA